TTAACAGTATCAGCAGGCGGCTACAGTAGCATTCTCTTTCGAGTGAGTTCACATTTCTTTGCGGCGTTTGACAACGAGTCAATGACTACATTTTAAACGAATCATGATCGTTTGGAAAGGAACTTCAGCAAAGACATTTTTATACCAGCCGTTCTTATGTAAAACGTTTTTTGCTTGTCTTACAAATTCCTGAAGTCCTGTTTTTTTCCCTCATTGTCCCTCCATTAAAAAAACACAGAGATACGAGAGGCGACGGGCTGGGAAGAAGGAGAAGCGAGGCCGAGAAAGGTGAGAGATGGTGGAGGAAAATGAAAAGAAAAACAGAAGCAGGGGAGACGAGAGGCGAGGGGGCTGAGAAGAAGGAAAAGCAAGGCCGAGAAGGTTGAGAGATGGTGGAGCAAAAAGAAAAGAAATACAGAAACAGGGGATTAGGAATTAAAATGCAGAGGGAAAGGAAAAAAGAAAGGAGGGAGAGGAGGAGTTTGCAGTCAAAGATCAGAAGCATGTTGGAAGCAATGTCGTGATGTCAGCTTTGCGAAGCTCACAGGGGGTAAATTCTATTGACTTTGTCTTCATAATTTATACCTGGTAATGAATTTAAATCTGTATTCTTTGGAAATTGATTTGAATTGTGCTTCTTGTAAGCAAAATGTCCTAATAATGAGGACTATGATGGGTAAATTGAAAGAGAAGGAAGATACTTGTCACCATGAATGAAAGTTTCTTAACATGAATACCGTGAAAGAGTGTTAGGAATGCTAATGAACTTTAATTTAGCTGTTTCCATTCAAATGAACCCATGAACACATTCTGTATCCACTATGACAGCTTTCATGCATAATTTTTTGATTCAGCAATCATTTGACTGTGTTATGAAAATGGAGGGATGAGCTACAGGGTAAATATGCATGCCTAATTTTTCTTTCCGTTCATGAATGGGCTAGATGTACTGTCTGCAATAAGATAGGATTACTGCTCATTGATTTACCCCAAACTTCTCTCTGATCATTTCTTTGCAACTCGTCATATTTTAGATTTTGTTTTGCCCGAGTATGTGGTATCTTTTGAATTCCTTTCTGATCATAATGCTTGTATAAATGTGTCTGAAGGTCTGAATAATGGGGTTAATCGATTGATAGAGATATAAAAAAAAGATATACTCTTTGAAAACAATATGCAGAACCCCAAGCGACTTGAACCTTAACTAAGGAATGACAATCCTTGGGGTCTGCATACTGTTTCAAAGAGTAAATTCATGTTTTAGTGTTTTCGTATTCTTTGACTCCCATCACCAAACATAGTATGTAATTGCTAATTATCAAGTTTGTTTTTTTTTTCCCCATGAATGTTACAATCACACACATCAAGTATTAAAATATGGAAATTAATCTTGAATCCAAATAAAATTCCAATCGTTCTTGCTACTGTCCTAGTGAGTTATCAGCCTCATCTTTATCTCCTACCCTTCCACAGTAGCTAACAAACACTCTGCTTGGAAGCATGCAATGAGAGCTGAGTATAAACAACCTCCTGGAAAACAACACCTAGTCCTTAGGTCCTCTTCTTAGAATTAACATTTCAGCTCTAAATGGGTGTACTGGGTTAAACAAAATCTGATGGCATTCTTGAATATCTTGAAGCACAGTAAGTGACACAAGGTTTCAAGCAACAGAAGGGGTCGATTATGATGAAATTTACAGACGGGTGGTCAAGCCAGTCTTACATTCAGATAATTTTCTCCTGCTGTCTCTTTTCGGCGGCTTTGAGGATTTCTAAATGTACCAGCTACGTGGCTTTGAAGATCCTAAGCATCTGGATTACGTGTGCGAATTACATAAATGATTATACAGCCTCAAGCTTTAGTTTACCCTGGATATTTGCTACGGCTCAGTCATAAGAAGTTCGCATCGAGGAGTGTTTCTATGGATCATTGGAATGGACCGTGGATTGTGGAGCATGTATGGAACCTTAATGATTAAAGAATCAATGAATATAAATATTTTCTCCTGGTTCTATCTAAATGTATTCCCAATGGGTTGAAGATTATCCTATTTAGAGCTTAACTCTAGAGAATTTTTATGTAAAGTACTTCCACTTTCATTTGGCTGAGAAAGATGAACATTGTATAGAGATACCATAAAGGCAGATTTGGAAGGTTAAAGCTTCGTCTAGAGTGGCTTTTTCTGTTTTATAGGCAATTAGAGAGTGTATTTTAATTCTAGACAAGTTGATCTTAGGAGAGAGAATATTTGTTAATGGTTATTTCCTGAGCAGGAGTGATGCAGAATCATACAAGCATTTTCTACTGTGGTATGCCTTCATTATAGCATATCTCAGCATTCACATTGTTAGAGAACTCTTCAAAATATCTGAGGACGAATTTGATTGAAAAACATGTTGATAAGAAATTTGGGGAAAGTATTTAGTGTCAATTGCTTGTAACAGATGCATGTTGTCATATTCTTTCCATCGAGAACAATGTAGCGGGCAATCACTTCTCTGTTAATTTCCAAATTTATATGCAAACAATTTTGTATATGACATACTGAAGGTCTTCAATTAATACACCAATGGATTACCAACTTCATTTTCATACTGCACTGCCATTGCCAATAATTTCTTTAAAACTCCCTTGTGATATTGAATTCTCTTGTACAATACTCATGGTTGACAGTGGGATTGATGCTATCCCCTTATTTAGCAAGCTTTAGTTATGTCACCATTATATAAAAAAAGTTAACAGTTGAACTTGATGCTTTTCAGGATAAAAAAAAAACTACCTCTTGATGACATGTTGCAATTCTATACCTAACATATCATGACTGTATGTTAGTTACAGAGATCAATTACAAGAAGTAATTTCCCCAGTTCATCCCATGTGACATGTTGCAATTCTATACCAAATGTTACCAACAGGCTCCCTCAGTAGCTTGCGTGCTTCTTTCAAATGAGTTCATATTTCATTATAGTCATTGAGAATGAATATCATGATTGTATGAACAGAAAAATTGTGGATAGACACTGTTATGCCAGCTATTCTTGTCTAAACGTTTTTTAGATTTCTCACAAATTTCTGGATGTCTTGTGTTTCCCAGATTATTAAATATTTACAAAGGATACTGTCCTGCCAAGTAAAGATGCCATAGTTTGCCAATGTGTGGATTTCATGAGCATTAGAAGAAAATAATTTAGCATCTGTTTAGACTGCCAGAAAGTAAAGTTTTTAGGTTTAATAAAATTCTCCTCGTGTGCCATAGTTTTGTTCTATTTTTTCCGTCAGAATTTTACTATATTAGAAACTGTAGCAGTTGGAGGTAGAAGTAAGAGTAAAAAAATATGAAATTATTGCAGGGTAATTCCAGAAATCAAGTTAGTGGAGCTCCAAGAAGGGCTAAGACAGCAGAGTTCAAGAAGAGAGAGATAAGAGAACATGTGTAATTGTACTTCGAAGAATTTATTTATTATTTATTATTTCAGACGTATTTCTATAAACATGCAACGCTGCAACATTACCCAGTTGGGTATGGGCCATCACAATTTAGTGGTATCAAAGCATGTATAAGCTTTATGACTTTTAATTGTGATTTATGATGTGATCTCAAAATACATGCTAGCCGAATGCTTTCACACTAGCACAATCTTCGACTTTATAAGCATTTGATTATAAATTGCAATTTTAATTTTTGGTCTTGATGAGTACATTAAAGATTGGAGTAGACATATTTGTGGTATCCGCGTCCTATATTAGAAATATATGTAATTAATGAACTCAGTGCAACAATCTGAGCTCGAGTTTGAGGACCTAAACATTTGTTTGGTGACGGTTACTTGTGTCCTGGACGTCAGGAAATTCCTCTAATATGTTAATACGAAAACTATATTTACCTTGATGATTATATTAAAGAGAAGAACTTTAGAAGGTAATAGATTTGAAGTTATTAGTCATGAAATGGCTTTCTTAGATGCATATGGCCACAATTTCTCTTAGACAATAAATAAAAGCAAAGAATTAAGGAAGAAAACTTGGGATTCTTCACTTTGAATTAAAATCTGTTAATTAATTAGTTCTAATCTACAGCAGTATAATCTGCCTACAAAAAATTTGTTCAAAAGCCACAAATTAGTGACTGATGGTTACTTTGTTCTTGATGCAGACGTGAAACTTGTGAGCAGGGAGGGGCTGCCACGAACATAAGCAATGCAGTCTCAATATCTTTAGCTGCATTCCTCTTTATCAAAGAGATGACATACTCCATGAAGACTGAATCACAAGGTAATCTAATTGGTCCATCATATGAGAGGCCAAACTCTTCCTTTGACAATTCAAAGAGATGGATGATAAGCGGATTGTTGAGATATGCAATAGGGAAGGCAAAGCGACTTTCATCTGCAGTATAAACAATAAAGTGGCCCTTATCTGCCACTGATGGTGTGTCTTGATCTCCTCTTCTGCTGGCTCTTGGAAGTGAAATTCTTTTCTTCCTGAGGGCTACTAGACACTGCCACTTCTTCGCCATCTTGATGAGTTTCTTTGAGCTGATCATTTGTCCTTGAGAAAATTAACCTGAAAAAGAAAGAGATGGATAACTTCTTTTTAGAGTACTGGAAAATTGGGATTACTGACTGATGCAGAATGCAACAGGATTGGATGAGTTATATAACACAAGACCAGTGAGACACTTCTTTTCATGTGGGTTACACTTTGAGGGTATTCATGTATACAAAAACATGTGGCATATGTTTCTACCACTGTTTCTAAGGACCAGAAAACAAAAGCACAGATGATTGGACACATATAATATATCACTTATCTTTCTTTTATATTAAACACACCATATTCTAATCCTTAATTTCTATTAATTTTTAACTGTTTCAAGATCTTAGAAGATTCAACTTGTCAAAAAATGTGAGAAAGATTTGGCAGATCTAGGCATGTGCAAGACATAGCATCTTGGTCCAACATGTTTAGCAGTTACTAGCAAAGAAAAAAGAAACTTATGTGGCTAAAGCCAAAGCTTTCATTAATGTAACTATAATTTCTAAACAGTAATCAAAATGTCTAAAATTTCCTAGCCTCTATCTCCAATTTAATTACCAAGAATGCAATCATAGTTAAAGAACATTATGATTCATTTTTCTTACAAGGTTCTGACTCCTGTATAGGTAGTGGGCAGCAAGCTAAAGAATTCAGACTATATCTTGTTGTACAATACGGCTGGCATGTTTTTGTACATCATTAATCCATCTGTATCTGAATTCTTTTACACATAGAAGAAGATTTAGAGAAGTTTCCACGCCCAAATGCATTGCTAAACCTCCTGCAGGTGGCCATTAATTCAAGCTTTGTGTTGTTCTACAATATCCTCATTGATTGTCCAACGAGCCAAACATTGCACCATTGAAATATATCCTCTCACTATCTAAACATAGTGGTCCATGTGGGTGAGGAGCTCATGGATGCACAGCCACAAATGTAACCTACTCAATATTATATGACCTATCACAAAACTGTCCATGTCCTATAATCACATATCACATGGCTGTATACCCATTAACCCCTCACAAGGTCACCCCACATGAAAATAACTCTTTCAATGGTCTAGTGGTATATAACTCATCCAGCACCATTGCATTCTGCAGCAGATTAACAATCACTTCCATTGTTCAAAGAAGAAGAATTTCACATACTCTTTTTCTAGCTTGCTTTCTTTAGAAACAATGATCAGCACAAAGAAACTAATCAAGATGGCAAAGAAGTGGCAGAGAGTAGCAGCCCTCAAGAGGAAAAGAATTTCACTCCCAAGAGCCAGTAAAGGCACAAAACAAGACATTAGCAACGCACCAGCTGTGGCAGATAAGGGCTATATTGTTGTTTATACAACTGATGAAAGGCGTTTTGTTTTCCCAATAGTGTTTCTCAACAATTCCGTAATTAGATAACTATTCAAGATGTCTAAGGAAGAATTTGGTCTCCCAAGCGAAGGATCAATCATATTGCCTTGCGATTGAGTCTTCATGGAGTATATAGTTTCTTCGATTAAAAAGCATCTTGATAGAAATATGGAGAAAGCACTTCTCGTAACAATTGCTAGTAACAGATGTGTAGTGCCGTGTTTTCTGCTTCAAGAACAGAGTAGCCAACAGCTACTTGTCTGTTAGTTCCCAAATTTTAACAAAAATTTGTATATGACACAATAATAGTTGTTTTCAGTGAACTTAATAGATCATTAACTTTTTCTTCATATTCTTTTGAAGTATCCAATTATTTTTTCAGAATTCCTTTTGTTGATGCCTTGTCTTATAGAATGCTAACATTTACACTGGGATTTTCAATTGATTCATATTCTCTCACCTAACAAGAATAATTTATAGGGGACATAAGTCACTCATCAGATCAAGTTGCTCATAATTTTTCAAGCTAGGCTTTATCCAAAGATTCATTCTGTCATGCAAATTCACTTTGTTAGAATGAGTTAGAAATTCATGTTTTGCAAGAAAGCCCTACCTCTTGGTGATAATTACTGAGACCAATACTGGAGAAGTAATTTCCCCATATCCTTCAATGTGATGTGTTTCAGTTCCATGAGCCAATATTATAAGCAGGCTGCCCCAGTATCGTGCATCTTTGCAGCGCTTGAGCCTCATTTAATCGCTGTCTTTGATAATGACTTGCCATTTTAAATGAATCAGAACTAGAGGCAAAAAAAAAACGGATAGTGTCTAAAGTGAATCATGCACCGAGAATTGCACATGGTGTTACCTAGATGTGATTGCCTAAAAAGTTTTTGCACGGACTCCATTTTGTTTTTTTTTTACTTCGATGATATTTTAAGGTTGTGCATAATTTAATTTTTATTCTATTGAAATAGAAGAATAGCGTACAATATAAATATGATAGATATTAATTCAAAATAATGTTCTAATTCTAAATTAATTTTATGTTTAATTCTAGAGTAGTTTAGGGGTTGAGTCGGGATAGATCATGTCTGCCCCCAAGACTATGCAACGAGTCGAGTTTGGCAATGCCCAGGCCTGTGACTATATCTTTGGCCAGAATAGACCATAATTGAATACTTTGACAAAATCTATTTTTGTTGTATCATGAAGAAACTTATATTCCATGTTTCACATTAGAGAAGGTCTCTATAAGGCTTGGATCAAACAATTTTTTGAATATAAACTACTGAAACTCAAAAAGCTCAAGCTCAAGGCTGTTAGTGGTGAACGACTTGAGTCCTCATATAAAGTTCAACATTTATAATCTAACCTTAAATATTGGATCGCATAAAGGCTAAAATGATTATTGTGTTGTTTTATCTTGTACTATCCTAGTACAAGACAGCAACCAAATGCTCCTCTTGTTGTATACCTGGAGTGATGATTTATATCGTAAAACGCTTGTTAGATGCTACTGATCAGCATTTTTTTTACTCTCTCTTTAATGATAATAATAAAAACAACCAGCAAATTGGGAAGAAACTCTGAGATTCTTCATTGAATTAATATA